CGGCCCGGGCGGGAGGCTCCGACCCCGGGCCCGGGGCGAGCCGCGCTGCGCCTCGAGGTACTCACGGTAACAGCGATGGCAGCCGGGCGGGGAAGGGATTTTTGGGTTAATGACTGAATTAGTAAAAAGACCTACGGGAAGGCACTTGTGAATGAAACTTACCTAGTGCTGTGAGTGAGACTTGAGAGCGCATAAAAAGGCTGAAGGTTGGTTGTTTGTTTATTTTTGTTAGTTTCTCCTTACCTGCCCTATAGGCCATGCTTTTCTTTACGTTTCTATTCTTGGTAAGGTAAGTTGTTCTTGTTTTGACCTTTTCCACGCCAGATGAGAGAACACACATTGACTCTAGGTCACTCTTAAAATTACACTCCAAAAAGATGCCATGGAATTACAGTGTAGTAGAGTTCCAAAGATGAGCATGGAGTTTTTTATTTTTATTTTTGTTGACTTAAGGTTGATGACTGGTTTGTTTTCTTTTTAGAAAAGAAAGAAATTTGAATAAAACCACAACTTTTCTAATGCCTTCTTTGGATCTTGACTATTACTTCTGAAAACTACACATTTAATAGGAAGTCTGAATAGAAAGTTCACATTTTTTTTTCCACTCGCTAGAATATATTTCCTCTCAGCAACATGTATTAGACAATATTATGTGTTTAATATGACACTTTTTTTTTTTTCCTCCACAGGTAGTGAAAAAGAAAATATCAAGATGAGTAAAAAGCCTCCAAACCGTCCTGGAATCACGTTTGAGATTGGTGCTCGTTTGGAGGCACTGGACTACTTACAAAAATGGTATGGAAGCTGTTGTGCAGTGCTTGTAAGAAGAGAATTATTTTGCTCATATTATATGTTTTAAAGTCTAATTATAAAGTGTAGTGCACCTGTTAATTGACTGATCACAGATGAAGTTTGTGACATTCTGAATAATCTGTTAAAACTGTTAGCTTTTAGGAAAGTATTCTCTCTTCAGAAATCAAACTAAACTTTTCTGTGGGTTTTTGTTTGCTTGCTGTCAGCTGCTTGTGCAGCCCTAGTAAGCAAAGGGCATTTCCAGAGCAGTGTGGAATGGACGCAGTGTAACGTGGGAGATGGTTGTTGTGTTGAAGTCACAAACTCCTGTGGCTAAAGACTTCTTTTGGTTTAGCTTGAAGGAAGGCAAGCACATTTGTTTTGTATGCAGTTTTCCCACTTCAAGGGTTTACAAAGCTGACTTTAAAAAAAGAAAACATCCTTAATTAGAGTTCATGGAATAGGCAAGAGTGGCTGTGTTTGTATCAAGTGGCTGGAGGAGTAGAATGTTTAAAGCTGTGGCTCTGCACCATCCAGTCATTCTGTAAGAATCAGGACTGTAAAGGGGAAATTTGTGGGTACAGGGACCAGGTGACAGGGTGAAGGGAGCTGTACTTTGGAAGTAAATTTAGTCAAAATTGATTAGTGCAGAGTGGCTGATTACATGATGTATGCTTGCCATGCTGTTCCTGTTTGAAAAATCCCTTATTTGTTCAAGTAGATGATAGAGAAGTTGATGCTTTTACCCAGAAGTATTTTCCTACGTACTTTCAGATGAATTAGGGCCATGAAACATAGAGGCCTGTGGCTGCTTTTCTGTTGTGTTCCTGGAGAGCTAGGCATGTTCCTGTGTATATCTGATCCTGCTAACTCCAAGTTATGTGGTGGAGAAGTCTGGGTATTAATTACGTGTTCACTCGAGTAGTTTCATTTTACTCTATACAAAAAGCTGTGTTAAGCTTTACCTGTAGAGCTTTGATTTTAGTTCTAGCAAAAGTGTTTGTCTTAATAAACACTGAAGGAAAGTACAGTTTACAGAACAGTTCATGTTCTTAGCTGTTGCTGTAGGCTGGGTTTTAAACATAATGATTCTATCACTGGATGCCAAGATGATGAAACTGAATAGTGCTATAAAAATAAAATAATTTTAACAGAACTTTTTATAATTCTTCCATGACTAGAGATAATTTGTTGGTGTAAACTAGATAACAAAAGTTAATAAGTAAAAATAGCTTCAGCTTAATCATGTTGGGGGAAAAAAAAAAAATCACTGACTATCCAGTGCATGGTTTGTATTGGATCTGCTGGGCCCTCCCAGGGAGAGGGTCACACATCAGCTCTGGAGCAGTCCTCCAGGTGTAAGCCAGGTTGCAGGCTCTGCAGCTGAGCTGCTTGGCATTTTCAGGCAGAAGAGGGTTCATCCTGACCTTCCTGGGCTTGTTGAACCATCCAGATGACCACGCAGAACAGGTCAGGTTGATATGCATGTAAACTTTTGTGGTACTGTATACAGGAGCAGAAAGTTAATATTGAAATTTTGGAGTTACAGTAGCACTTGAAAACAGAGCTCTATTTTAAAGGAAATAATATTCCTGTACCTAACCAAAGAGCTTGTTAGAGAACACCTACTGCAGGGTTACTGTTAGGGTGGCACGGGCTGGAATAATAGCCCATGGGATATTTTTTTTTCCTTAGCTTTCTGTTGCATAAGGGCATGGTGGATGTTTTTAAAATTCTTTCTATATGTAAGCTGTATGCATGCTCATCTGCATGCAGAAAGATGTTCTTCAAAGCAAATAAAGTTGCTGAACTTACATGAAATGTCTTTATATTTGTTAACAAAACCAAGACTGAAGAGCAGTAGTATTGCTTAGCTCAGTCTTTCTGCAAGTGGTAAGTTGAGAACACTTGCTGAAAAAGAGACTTTGAAAGGGGTTTAATTTTTTCTTTTTTTTTTTTTTTTTTTTTCTGAAAGCCTGCTGTCATTCAAAGATCCAGTGTTTTTGACCAGTTAAAATGTTAATCAAGAAAGGCTTCTAGAGGATGGGAAGAAATACAGTAAAGAACAGTTTTGCTTTCTGCAGGTCTTAAATTTTCACCTGTGTAATAAGTCCTGAAATGAATCTTATGGAGTCTGGTGTTCTGTTTGAATTCTGTAAACTTTGAAGAGAGTGTTATGTACCATGACTATTTGTTACTTAAACCCCCTGTTCTTTTAATAAGAAGATTTTTACAGACAGCATTTGGGTCACTGATATCATTTGGTGTGTAGGATTACTGAGTAGAAGAAAGCCTGGTCAAACTGATTAGCAAAGAGAGGTTGTGAGTGAGTGTGGGTTTTTTGCTTTACTGTGGTGGGAACTGCAATTACTTCTTTATAAAATACAGCAGTATGCTGTTATAAGAGAGATCATCTTGCACAGTGAGTTTGTACCAGTTGTTAAATCCAATGCACTAAAGCAAACTGTGGAATGCAGCTCTAATCAAAATCAGTGTGATCATCAGCAGATAGTAAAGGGGATGGGATTGAGAGATAAAAATTATTAAGCATGTGCAAGATGATCAGAGGCCTGGAGTGTACGACTTGTGAAGACAGGGTGAGGAAACTGGACTTAGTTTCGCTTGGAGAAGGCTTCTGGAGGCCCACTGGCAGCTTTCCAATGCCTGCAGGGGTGTCATCAGGAAGACTTAGCCAAGTTCTCCCCAGCAGTGCCTGGTTGGAGGACAAGAGACAACAGGCACAAATTAAAATGAGAGATTCAAGCTAGGTACATGGAGAATTTAATTTCCCATGAGGCAGTCAAGCAGTGGATCAGGTTGCCCAAAGAGTGTGTGCAGACTTTGCAGGTTTTCAAGACTGAGCTGGATAAAACTCTGGAAAGCCTGATCTGATCCAGCAGGTAACTTAGACTAAAGGCTTGCTGAGGTCCTTTCCAACTTGAATTACCCAGTGATGTTGCACAAAACCTGATGTGTGTGCACACCTCCCCTGTGCCTCTCACTGACAAAACAAATGGAATGTCAGTAAAGCTGCACACACCTGCAGGCACGTGCCCATGTGTAAGGCTGGGTCTGAAACTCTTGGCTTCCACGAGTAGGGCACAGTCTCTGCAGTAGTGATGTGTTTAAAGATGACCATCTTCTTTTTTTTTTTTTTTTTCTCTTCTGTCTTTTGTGGCTCTAGCTCTCTACTGGTTTTTCCCTAACTGCCAGATATTGCTTTGAGAAAAAAAGGGTGTTATTTTTGTGAGACTGTGTATCTTATGTACAGTCCTTGCTTTGGATTTCCGTTGGCGGGGTTACCTGACAGCCAGCTATTTGAAAGGACTGTGGAGAATTTGCTTTGTGTGGATACAACACAATATCCAAAAGTAAAAAGTGTGGGGTAGAAATAGGTGTTCACAGATTTTGCAGGTACCAGAAGACTGTGGAAAAGTCAGAATGCAGGGTATTTGGTTCTATATCCTTTATAAGGTAGAAGGAAAGAATTTTTTTATGCTATTATTGTGTAGGCAGGAAGTGTGTATCTGTTTCTACACTTAGTAAGTGCAAACTCAGGCAAATTTAGTAATGTTTTTGCATCCTTTTTCACAGTTTCAAGTAACTATTGTCCCCTCTCACAAGGCAATTCACCACTTTTGGTCACTTTTGAAGGATAAAAAGGAAGATGATGTAAAAAGGAAAAATACTCTGTGGGACCATTAATGTATGTTGAGTGCCTTGGAGAAAATTATTTTTTTTCTTTGCACTGTTAAGAAATGAAAACTGGAAGTTTTCCATTAATTTTTCCTATAGGAATGTTGGAGCATTATTGTCATCTGACCAGTGCTTCATAGTGTAAATTTTGTAAGCCTTGTTAAATGTTGTAGCTTTACAGAAATGTTACATAATTCTTATGGGCTGAAGCCATGGGAACCTGAGAATGGAGAGCATGTCGTATGTAAGATGGGCAGGTACCATCAAGCAGCAGTAGTTTTCTAGTTCCCTCTTTAAAAATGCCAAAATGCCTTGAAATTTGGGTGACACTCTGTTTGGGATTATTAAATAGAATTTCCAGCATGCTATTAAAAAAACGCACCCAAAACTTGCAGATTTTTGTTTCTTTCCACCAAAAGAACACTTTCGTCATTGAACTGGAGTGTGGTACTCTGGTTTTCATTGTGAAATGAAGAGTAAACACTTTTTCCTCAATTTCAGAGTGTATTTTTCTCATTTGTGCTGAACAGACATTGGCATGCCTGCTTATGTGCCCAGTTTGATCTGACCCCTTCATGTGGAGTGCTTGCTGGGGAGAATGGGCAGAATTAACATGACTGGAAGGTTCTTTGGGTCTTAGACATCATTTTGCTTTGGTGCTATAAAGAGTGATGTTTGTATTCCCCTCTGTAGTACTTCCTCATAAAGCCTACTCATAGCTTTGCAGTGGAAGGGACCTCTACATAAAGTTTCTCCTATGTATGAGATACAACCATCTTCATGTTAATCTTTCTACGGGATAACTATAAACACTGCTCTTGACCATAGTACACAGCTCTCATGTGTGCATTGTTACTAGGATTCTTCCAAAAGGCAGATCAAAAAAATTGTTGCCATTTTATCTTCTATTAGCAGAGAACGCATACTTGCCTTGGAAATATCTGTATATTTTTGCAATTTATCAGATTAAGTATTTTCAGTAGAAGTACAAAAGCTGTGAGACCAGAAAAATGTTTCCATGCGGTGTAAAATTTGGGGTGGTAAATTCTGCAACATGTGTGCTCTGCTCTTTGTCACCCTGGGACCAGTGTTGTGAAACAGTAGTGTTTAGACATACTTGTGGCATGTTGTGTGGCTAAACTTAGGGGGTATTGAGGGTAATAGCTTGTTGCTAAATCCATACAAAGTTATTTCTAGGTTGCCTAATAACTCGTATTGGCTTGGGTCATTCAGAGATTTGCTAAATCTTCAGTGTCTGAGGAGTGCAGTCCAATGCAGGTCTTGGCCCTGCTCATCTTGCAAACAGTCTAAAGAGGAATTGGAGAAACATGAATTATCATATTTAAGTGGAAAACTGGAATTAGGAACTTGGATTCAGAGCTGATAATGACATTTTGAAACGGCTTTGATCGCTAAAATTGTATTTGTCAAAGAGAAATTAACCAATAAATACCTGGTGCTGCGTTTTCTCTGAGTGATCTCTAATGAGACAATATTCTGTGGATCTTGTTAGCTGATGCTACCTTTGCTTTTTTTCCCCCATATGTATATAAATGTCTTGATTCTTGGCTTGCTGAATTCTCCTTAAAACTGTCTTCATTTTTTATATATTTCTCTCAGCTGTACTCTGTACTTTACTTCCACCTCTTACTCTTGTTTTCTCTTCCGCAGTGTGCCAGTTCATCCCTTCTGCTGTCTTCTACACGCAGTGCTTGGAATGGTGCCTCTGCTGGTGATGGCCGGTGAAAGCCACCAGCCATGCCAGTGCTAGCAACTCTTACAGGGCAGTGCCATAATGGGAACAGAGCAGGAAAGGAATTCTGTGTTTTGGCTAATGGTCCCTGAATTTTCTAAAATACCCGCAGTTCTTCATTGGTACCTATCTGGCATGTGATAAACCTGATGCTTCCAACTGTAGTGAGGAGTACCACCAGCATTCTTGTCATCGTTTCACTACTGCAGCTTTGGTGCTTGTGCACAGCATCTAATTTTTGATTGCTACGCAGTGAACTTCCCATCCTCTCGCTTCTCTGGCCCTTGTCCTTTCTTCCCTCTCTGTCATCCTTTACTTTTATTTGAAACTCTGGGGTAACGTAGTTATGTGTTTGCTGTAGTAACAGTAACATCACTTTTTCCTCTTGCTTTGCTTTCTTCTTCCTGCTTATTCTGATACTTGGTGTCCAGTTAGACAAGTCTGAAGCTGGAACACTGTGGAAGAGGAAAAAAATTAATAAGAAATTTGATAGTACAATTCCTGAAGGTAGCAGCTTGTGGACCTAAGAAAGCATTGTCGGAGACAGGGCTTCAGGAAACTCTCTCTTGGCTGAGTTCTTTTCTTGAAACCTCGTTCAAAGTTAAACCAGAATGCTGGTAATGGGATTTAGCTTTTGACCTACAAGTGTCTGTTTTAATACAATATATCATCAACTTTGCTGTTCGTGTTAGATTGTTGTTGTCAGTCTGCTTGGGAGAGGAAGGAGGGGTTGGTCTTTTGCTTCTCTGGAAGAGGTCCCATGAAGTTCTTCTGTCTTGAAAAAGATTGTTAGTAGGGTGGCAAATGAGTCTGCTGTTTGAGACAAAGACTTTGTTTGCTTTAAAGTACAGTAAGAATAAATCTGGAACTTAGAAGGGTGACTATGAAAATATTTTGCATTTCTGGAATGTATGGATGAGAGAAACGCACCAAGAGATTGTACTGTCTGTGCCTTCTGGTGTGAGGCTGGAATGTGGCTGAGGTAGTTGCAGTTGTAACCCAGAAAACCAGAGGGATTTTTTGTCATTTAGCAGCTGCTGAGATATTTAGATGTTGGGAAGCTCTACACATCACTGCAGCTGAGGAAGCAGGACTGGAGAGGTGAAGGAGCCAACTGAGAATGACGCTTTCTGTTTTCATGACCTGTTCTAGTCACCAGGAAATAAGGAAAGCCTGTGCTTCCTGACAACTTAGATTTTAACCAGAACAAAGTGTTAAAAACTCCTTTATCAGCACCATCAGTATTTTGGAGCAAAAGTACTCAGAGATGAAAATATTGACAGGGTTCCTGTATATGTCAGTTGTGGTTTTTAGCTGATGGAATTCACAGAGGGACTGGAAATTGGTTCCCCAAGTTCTGTTCTCTTACTATTGCTCCACAGTAACACTTGGTTAGAAAAACAGGTTGCCTCTTAATGAAAGACAGCTGTCCCTTTGCTTTGGTCTTTCTTTTCAATACATGTTTTGTTAACTTCAGATCATCCCTAGTATAAACTCTGGAGAAAATTTGATAATCTAATTAAGTTTTGTTTTTCTAAGAAGTTCTCAGCACTTTTGAATCTGTTTCAATACTTTTGTGCAGAGTGGAAGGAGATGAATTCTGCCTTATTCCAATTTTCTCTGAATTTCATGCTGTGGAAGTAAAGGGATTTTAGTGGATAAAGCAGTGTGACAAAACCAGTTTGTGCCTTGTGCCCCTACTACAATTTTGTGAAATACATCACTTTGGTGAAGCAGAAATAGTAAGACTGAATAATAATTGCTGAAGTTGGAGAAATTTGCCATTTTCTCCTACAAATGTCATCTCAACCTTTACGATCCCTAAGCTACATCTATTCCACAGCCAGTATTAGATACCTAAAATTGAAGCTCAGTTCTGAATAGTTCTACCGAGTACATATGATGCTTGCTGAGAGTAAAATTCATGTGTTAATTAAGGCTGTCATATTTACTTTAGTGCATGTGATGTAAAAGAGAGATGGCTGCTAAAAAATAGTTACTGTGAGTCAGCTGTAATGGCAGTGAAGTTGTGGAAGCTGATCTCTAAGTTAGTAAGCAGCTTAGATAAAGTAAGAATGTTCTGTTGACCTCTGGGCTTGGTTAGTTGCTTGGATCTGTCTGGAATCAGTGGCATAGTTTGATTAAACATTTCATATGATACAAGTAAGGAATGTACTCCTAAAACTATTTTATATCCTTTCTGTCCTAAGAAAGTTGAAACTCTTACAGGATTTTGCTTTAGACAAAGACATGTTTTAAAACCGATGAGCACAAACTTCTAATACCAATTTTAGGCAGTTTTGGTCTGGGGCATTTAAATTTCTATATAATCATCCGACTAGGATGAAGGTGATGACACATCACTGATGTGTATAGATAACTGTAATTGTTACCCTGCTATCCATTTAGTCCTGTCACCTTCTTCAGACCTGGAGCTTTCTCGGTGCAGGGTGTTAATGTGATGTTCCGAATGGTCGTGTAAGCATTGTCTGCAAACAACCTTTGAAAAGACTTTGAGATATAGAATTTGTTTATCGTTCAAGGTATCCATCTCGTATTGAGAAGATAGATTATGAGGAGGGGAAGATGTTGGTCCATTTTGAACGTTGGAGTCATCGCTACGATGAGTGGATTTACTGGGACAGCAATAGGTTGCGACCCTTGGAGCGACCAGCACTAAGGAAAGAAGGGCTGAAAGATGATGAAGAATTTGTTGTAAGTGGCATATTGATTTTGTCTTTGGATCTTTTTGTAAACTGTTCTACTTGTTTTCCTACATTAAATCTCTGTAGTGCATAATGTTTATTTGTTTTTAGGAAAAAATCTAAATGGTTAAAATATTAATGACTAAATTTGTACAAAATAGGATTTTAAGCCTGGAGAAGAAGTCCTAGCTCGTTGGACAGACTGTCGATATTACCCTGCAAAGATTGAAGCAATTAATAAAGAGGGTATGTATTTATGTATGGTTCATTGAGGAGGACTGTTTGCATATGCTGTGCTCTAGCTGTAGTCTGCTTAAAAAACTAGCGTGCTCATAAAATTTTCCTCACTGCCTCAGTATTAAGTGAAAATGTTTCTATGCTATCAAATTTAGTAAGAGGTTTGCGTTCCATCTGTGTGAGATGAGAACTGGAATTTATCCTGGAAGGCAAAATGCTTAATGTTTCCTCAGTGATGAAAAGAGTATCCTGTGCACAGAGGGAGGCTATTTTGTGCTGTTGTTGATTTGGGCTAATGATATGTTTGGCTTTCCATAGTTGTTTTAGGAATGGTAAGTCTTTTGAAAGTTCTCTCTATTGAAGAAAAACAATGGAAGTGGGGAAATAAAGGAATACCTTAGACACAGTACTTCATGATGGGGTGGTATTTCTTATGAATATAAGTAGAAATTAAAATTTTTACTGTGGTTTAATCTTGAACTGAATTGTTACGCTATTATGGTGTCTTCATATTTTCAATTAAAAAAAAAATTACTAAAAGTGACACCAGTAGCTTACATATGCTTGTAATTGTACAAGTGGACAAAGAACAGCAGTATAAATAGGAGACATTCATTAATGCAGTCATTCAATTTTTTGTTTTAAAATTCTCAATTCTGACTGTAGATAACTCCTGGTTACTTAGTGAAATGTTTTGTATGCTATATGAACAAAGCTTTTATAGTAACAAGGTGTGTTTTGTTTAACTGCTCATGGTGATTATTACATCAATGCTTTCCTAGGAACATTCACAGTACAGTTCTATGATGGTGTTATTCGATGTCTTAAGAGGATGCATATCAAATCTATGCCAGAGGATGCAAAAGGGCAGGTAAGAGTCCTTTAGGTACCTCTTTGATTACTTTTATATAGAGCGTTTTGTTAATATCCTGAGATAATAAAAATGTCATCTAGCACAACTAGTTGTAGATTATAGTCTTTATTCCAGGTCCTGCATTGCCTTGCTTCACCAGTTTCATGGATGATGTCCCAGAACGTGCTGCTCAAGTAGTCTTGCCTCTATCTGAAATGCCCAGCTGCCATACATCCATTGCTGACTAATCTGTTCCCAGTGTTTTGTCTCGTGGAGTTTACAAAACCAGGCCCATCAAGAGGTGTTTTCCTCTGGTGTCCTTGCAGGAAAAAAATTTAGCTTGTCAATAGTCTGTGCTGCTGATTTTTTTTTTAAACTTTTTTTTTTCCTAACCACCTTCCGCCCCATCTCTTTTGTTTGCTAGTGTGGTAGCTTTTTGCCCACGTGTTCTTATTAACATGACTGTTCTGTCAGGGTTTTCTCCCCTGTATCAGAACTTTTGAGGATTCAGTCAGATAAATATTTATTTCTGATAATATCCAGTTGCTGTTAAAGAAGAGATGCTGAGTAAAAGTCGAGGGGAGGCTGTGAAGTAGAGAGCATGATTTAGTCACTAGACATATCTTTACTTGCAAAAGAAAAACACAGAAAACTGTTAGATGCTGTCAGGGGAAATGCCATTGCATTTATCTTGCATGGTAACTGTATTCTCATAGTTAATGAGAAATTACTCCACTGATGCTATTTGAGACTCAGAGACAAGAACTGTGAAAAAACTGCTCTTACGTGCTCCCAGTTTTCTTCAGAATACTTCTAACTTGGCAAACAAAATTAAGATATTTTGTGGGTACTCTTTTAATTTTCTATATTGTGACGATGGCAGATGGATAAGCCAAGTGGTTTGAAAACATTTCTGTGTCCTGCCTTCAAGGTTACCAGCAGCTGTACACTAGGCTTTGTCATCTATGCAGAGGACATTGGAACCTTTTGCAGTTCCACAGAACACTGCTCTACTTTAACTCTGTTTCCTTAAAGAGATTAAACTGAAATCTCTAGTCATGCTAACACTGACTTCTTGCTGCAGTCTTATAGTAAGTCTGTTGAACAAGTATATAGTAGTTTAAACAATATTTTTCAGTATAGCAGTAAGTTAGGAAGTTAAGAGTATTTCAGTTTACTTGATAAAAAGGAAAACTTGGGTAATGTGGTTGTGACTGAGCTGAAATAGCCATTCTGTGACAGCTCTTACTCTGTCCTGTGATTTTTCTAGGGAGCTATGTTGTGTCAAATCTTGAGTGAGTATTCTTAGGCCGCAGGCATATTCAGCTTAAAAAAAAAAAAATCCACTTCTTAGCAACTGTTTTGATGGCCAGAGATGCTTGGTGGCAGTCCAGCTCATCGAGTATTTCTAAGTTTTATTCAGTAGCTGAGAGTTAAGATGTCAGTCCTACACATCTCAGGAGCTGGATGTAGGTGGCTTCAATGAAGTGTTGAGAAAATTTACACTCTGAAATGAATTTAGAACTTTTAACTTGTCTTGCAGCAACAACACCACCAATTTTGCTTTCTATAATGCTAATTGGGATGAGTATTTAGCATTTCATTTTGCACAACTAGAGATGGGCATGGAGTTCTGTAGCTTTCAAAGGCAAAGATACTTTTTTTAATGCAACATCTCCTACAGCATTATGTTTTGTTAAAATGTTTGGTTTTCAAAATATTTTGTGGTATTTTAGAAAAAATGTGACTTAAGATACCGTTTAAAACTCAGTTGTCTGAAACTGAACTTTGTCCAAGTCTAGAGCTCAAATGGATGGGTTTCGGTGTTTGCATTATTTTATGAGAAGATACAAAAATTTTACAAGTTATAAAAGTTATGTAAATCTTAAAAGAAAAAAAATTGCTAAGAATATAAATTGGTTTGAAAGATAGTGGAGCTGACAGATCCAAAACTTCATGCTTAGTTTAAACCTATGTCCTTTCTGTTGTTTCCAAAGGGGGGGGAAAATGAAAAACATATCAAATGATGAATTAAGCTTAAGATACGTGACTATCTGGTGCATTAGCAAATTCAACAAATGTAAGTTCTGTTTGGAAGGTGTGTGCTAAGCATGCAGAATTTGAATTACATAGAGAGAGAGATACAGAGTAGGTAATTCTTTGATTTGAGCTTTGTGTGTCTTAGAGGAACCTGTAAATGCTGTAACAGTCAAAGTATTTTTGAGTTGCAGCAGAAGTGTGTTTTAATAAGACTCAGCTGTGAGGGTGGAAAGGCAAAATTTAAAAGGGTGGAAAACATCTGTGTGGTTCAATGCAACAAGCCTATAGGTGAGGTTGCTCTGCAGAGAAGTGCAAATTACTTGAAATCACACAGAAATGTGGCTAACGTAGTACAGAGGAAAATAAAAAAAAAAAATAAGATGGGGATATTGAGACTGCCCTTGTGAGAGCACATGTGAAGTATTCAGATAACTTACTTTTTCTGTTTCATGTTTTTGTTTTATCTTCGATGTAATCAGGCGCGCGAGAGGGAGCAGATAGCGCCGGAGCTGAGATTAGTCACGGAAATCGAGCCAAAAGAAGTGAGTTTTGAGGAGGGTTTTGAAGGAGAGGGAGGGGACTTGGCACGCAGGAAGAGGAAGCTGAGGAAAAAGCATGGATTTGCGATTGGGACAGAGGAAAAAAGAAGATGTGACAGGAGACAATGTGAGCCAAGATGTAGGTGGGGCAGCCTGTTTAGAATGTGAAAGGTGAGGGTAAGGAATCCAGGCTTGATGTGGAATCAGCCAGTCAATAGCTTTGATGATGTTTTTTGTGTGTGTATGGATGTGTGGGAGTGTGGAGTTGTGCTGTGTCAGGAGAGGAAAAACAGCTGAATCTTTAGTGCTGTAGAGAGGCAAAAAGGTGGTGATTGTAGGCAGGTGAAGGGAGAACGATGTATGTGTGAATTCTGCTGGTGGTGCAAGGGTTGGATATTAGTTGGTTTTGTTTTTTTTTTTTTTTTTTTTTTGACTTCCCACTGTTGCAGGATAAGGTTACACAAAGAAATATTTTACAATATAAATGTTTAGCCAATTGATGTGTAAGGCTGTTGGGTAATTTCTACTAACATATTTCTTGATGATGCAATTCCCCGTGCTTTGATTTAGTGAATCTAAATAGCATAATGACATTTTTCCTCAGCAG